ATGAAGTATTCCTTTAATGGACAGCATCTATATGCTTTATACCTAATTTTTTGAAGCAAAATTATCAATTTCCTTATGTAAAATGTAACAATAATTTCAATTTGCAGGAATCACATCCAATATCATAAATCTGGTAAAGATCAATCAACAATTCTTAATAAAAAAGATCCCTTTTATGTTTGTACTGATTTTATTAATAAACATAATTAAAGCCCTGTTATACCTAAAAATTAATTTATTCTAATTTTAATTTTACAAAATTATTCAGTTAGACAATAAGTTTTTTTTTAGCAATTTAATAATGATTAGATATATAATTATTATCTATTTTTATAAACTTAGTAGCCCAAGCTATAAATATCAATAGAATTCTGATTCTTAAATCATATTTGATATGAAACCAACTAAATTACATAATGAAAGAACCATCAACTTATAAAAATATCCTTAAATAATCTTATGTTTATTTTATCTAGATTAAAATATACTCTCCTATTACTTCTTTCATCAATTATATGAATAATAGCTAAATAATCATTAGGAAAAAATTTAATAATAAATATTGAAAGATGTATTAGGCTGAAAAAGATCTTAATAGATTAAATTTTGATTTTCAAAATCAAATTTATCACTTTTTATTTAATTCCTCTGAATAATTAATAAACTTTTAAGAAATTTAATTAACATAAGGTTTATTATTTTTTTTAATTATTATCTGGAAAAAAGGATATTTATCTTAATTAAAAATATTAATTTAATAAATTACAATTTATTTCTATAATTGAGGAAAACTTTAATAAGTTTAAATCAAATCCTATTTTAATGCATTAAACAATGGCATTTTTAGAAGAATTAATCATGAAAAACTATAATGGCAATATAGGGTTTGCAATTATAAGATAAAAAAAGTATAAGGACAACCTTAACTTAATATAGAAGAGATTGATTATTTTAATAGATTAAGAATATAATTTCTCTTTTTTAAAAATAGATAGATAATTCTTCATTATAATAAATAATTACAGAAAAAGAGTTGTAAGTAAATAGATAAATTATTTTACAAATTATCCATTCTTTTTCCATTTTAAAGTAAATTATGAAATATCACTAACTTGATATGTTATTTAGATGCACTACTATTCTACAATTTAACTTCCATTTGATATTCTCAAACATAGTCTAGCTTATATAATATTCATAATCTAGTTTACTATAAATAATGGTACATGAGCTCATAATATGTATATTTTGGATTCTTCAATTCTTTCTTCATAAAATTATATATACTCTAAGTCTTATTAACTGCTTGATTTCTTTTTTAATCTTTTATAGAAAGTTTTTGTTTTATTTTATGACTGATAAAATACTTATTCTGTTTGGATTATATACTAGAAAGTTATCTTTCAACTTTTTCAAAGTCTTTCAAAATATTCATCCAATTAAGCTTGATCCTTGGTTTATGTTTAGAAAGATGATATATTAGACATAATTAGTTTAATATCAAGAGACTTTTTTCAATTTAATCGATCATGATTGCAGTTTATTCATATTTTAAATCTTGGTCAGAACTATTCTAATTTAATAACTACTATTCTTAAGAATTGTCCTACAAAATTATAAGAAAAAGATTAATTCTCATATCAAACTTTATTCAAGTAATCTTTTTATCTACTTGAATTAGCCTTATTCAATAGTATTTTGATTCTATTCAAAATCTGAGCTAATAGGAATTCATCCATTTTATGAATTTTGATCATCCTAAAGCAAACTTTATTTTTTTTCTTTCAATTTGATCTTTTTTAAAGAAAATTAGACATCTAAAATTTAACAGCTACAAGTTTTAAATTGATTTGAATTGATTTCAATTACTGTCTTCTAAACTCATAAATCATTTTCTATTCTCTCTATATACTATCACATTTAAATTATTCTATTTTAATGTATCATTTAAACTTGATTTGATTACCCTGCTTTAATACTAAAAAGCCAATCATATATATTTTATTTATTTATATTTCCATTTTTAGATAAATATCACGTTATTAGAATTGAAATAAAATATATTCGTCCTAATTTAACAATAAAACAATTTATCATCACCTTACAAAGATTAGGCATTAGGTTAAATAAATTTCTATTTTTATATATCTTTTTACAATTCTGAGTGATGTGAATCATTTTAATTATGCATTTAAGAAATAATAGTTGAACAATTCTTAATTTTTTACATAATAATATACAGATTAAATAAAGGAGAAATAAAAACATCTAACTTAAAATATAATATATTCAATTAAATTATATTTGATATATTACACATTCCTAAATTTCTGGCTTTTCTTATCCATAAAGATGAGTTTTATAATTTTTATTATTATTTCTATCAAATTAATAATCACAACCTAATTCAGAATAACCATCAGTAAAATCACCATTAATATTAATATCATTATAATTTCCATAAGATGGTCCTCTATTAATATGACAATGAATAGCTTAATTCTTGTTATTCTCCTTCAAATTATATATTTAATCATGAGTTTATGAAAATATAAAAGATGATAATGTATCATCTTGTTTATTAGCACTTCCACTATAATCCCATTTACAAGGAGAGTATGCTCCAAAGATAGAGCCACTTTTGGATTTAAATACCATTAATAGATTGTCTTTATTATTAACTTTATTCCAAAAATATTCTGCCTTTAACCCATCTCGACTACCTAAATACATTTCTTCTGAACCCTTTATTGTTTTCTTTGTTTTCTCTTATAAAATGTAAAATATTTTAATCCAATAATCATCTCGAAGTAATTTTGGTCTTATACTTGATCAAATTATTGTTGGATTTTGAGGATAAACAAATATTTTATTTAAAAAATTAATTATTTATTAATTATATATATAGAACTTAAAGTATGAGAATTATGAAAAGAAAGTTTTGGATAATTTTATTTATTTTTTAATTTTTAAGAAAATTGTTTATCTTAATT